CCGGGGGGTCCAGCGGGGCTGGGGGTCGCCCCTGGGGCTGCGGGGGGGAACATCCGGCGGGGGGGGTCACCCCCCCCTGGGGCTGCAGCAGGGCTGGGGGTCACCCCTGGGGTGCAGCGGGGCTCATGCGTTGGGCGGGGTCACCCCGGGGGTGCAGCGGGGGCTCATGCGTTGGGGGATCGCCCCGAGGGCGCAGCGGGCGGGGGTCACTCACCACGCAGTCCTGCAGCAGGTCCTCCAGGCGCGTGACCGTGATGCTGCGGTCGCATGAGTATTTCTTCTTCATGTTCTCCTGCGTCTTCCTCAGGAATTCCTCAGCCTCCTTCACATCGGCGAAGAACTAGGGAGGCGAGGGGGGTCAGGGGGGCGGGTGCCCGGCGGGCCCTGGCTGCGCCGGCGTGGGGACCCCCTCCTGCCCCACCCTACCTGGAAGTAGGCGCTGTTCTCCTTCAGGTGGGCCTCGATGCAGCAGCACAGCTGGAGCATCCAGCTCCACTGGGTCTGCAGGGCTGCCTGGAAAGCCTGAAACGGGGAGGCGTCACCCTGCCTGCACCGCCACCGGCACTGGCACCGGCACCGGCCAGCCCCCACCCAGCCCAGGCAGCTGCCTGCACTGCCACAGCCCCTCCGTGCGCTGCCCACCGCCCCACGCACTGCGCCCCACACCAGTGACCCTCAGCGCCCACTGCTCCATGCCCCACACCCCACGCCAGTGACCCCAGTGCCCACTGTCCCACGCACCGTGCCCCACACGAGTGACCCCCAATGCCCACTGCCCTGCGCCCCACACCAGTGACCCCAGTGCCCAGGCCCCCCCAGGCTCCCCAGGCCCCCTCACCTCCAGGGTCTGCCTGCCCGGGTGCTCCTCCCGCAGCAGCCGGTCCCCCGTGCTCTGCAGCTCCTTGATCTTGCGCTCCCGCAGCTCCAGCTCCCGCATCAGCCCCTGGCACAGCCCCGGGGTGAGCGGTGAGCACCCGGCCCCCGGCAGGGCCAGCACACGCGTGTGCGTGTCTGTGCGTGTGTCTGTGTGTCTGCGTGCGCATCTGTGTGCGCCCGGGGCTGAGGCACCTTCCTACCCCCGCCCCGGGCCCTCTGCAGCTGCCGGGGA